CAGCCATTATCACACCTTCTGCAAATTTAGACCTTGCCTTAAAAGCGTATCTTTTTTCTGCTGTAGGAACGGCTGGCCAACGTTGCACCACATTGCGACGTGCCTTTATTCATGAAAGCCTTTTTCAAACGTTTACACAGCAGTTAGAAAAAGCCTACCAAAAGCTTCCGGTTGGGAATCCTCTAGAGCCTAAAACTTTAGTTGGCCCCCTTATTGATCAACGTGCTTTTCATGCCATGGAAGAAGCGCTTTATACCGCTCAGAAAGAAGGGGGAAAAGTTCTCATCGGAGGACAAAGGGTTTTAGAAGATCAATTCCCAAACGCTTTTTATATCCACCCTGCTTTAATACAAATGAATCAGCAAACACCTATCGTTATGCGTGAAACCTTTGTCCCAATTTTATATTGTATGCCCTACACGTCCTTAGAGGACGCTATCGAATTAAACAATGCTGTTCCTCAGGGACTTTCATCCTGTATTTTTACACAAGATTTAACACAAGCAGAAGCTTTCCTATCGTCAAAGGGCAGTGATTGCGGTCTTGCAAACGTGAATATCGGCACAAGTGGCGCAGAAATTGGGGGCGCTTTCGGCGGAGAAAAAGAAACGGGTGGTGGTCGTGAAGCAGGCAGTGATTCTTGGAAAGCCTATATGCGCCGATCTACACAAACAATCCACTTTGGAAAAGACCTCACATTTTCTCAAGGCATCCAATTTGATTTAGGAGATTAAAGACTTATGGCCTCTTCTTCTTTTACTTGGAATGACCCCTTTCAGCTAGAACAACAACTAAGCAGCGATGAAAAAATCATTCGAGAGACAGCCCATGATTATGCGCAAAAAAAGCTGCAACCTCGTGTTTTAGAAGATTTCCAAAAAGAACGTTTTTGCAGATCTTTACTCAGTGATTTCGGCAAACTGGGCTTGAATGGAATGGCCTTGCCTACCCCTTGGGGAGAAGAGGCAACACCAACGGCTTACGGTCTTGTCACTCGCGAATTAGAGCGCGTTGATTCTGGATATCGTTCTTCTTTTTCTGTTCAATCTTCTTTGGTTATGGAGGCTATTTTTCATTTTGGAACAGACAAACAACACAAAACCTATTTGCCAAAATTAAAAAAAGGAGATTGGATTGGTGCCTTTGCATTAACAGAACCCAATTACGGTTCTGATCCCTCTTCTATGGAAACCATTGCTCGAAAAAGTGATCAAGGAGGATGGGTTTTAAATGGGCACAAGCAGTGGATTACACACGCACCCGTTGCAGACCTCTTTATCATTTGGGCAAAAGATGAAACAGGAATGATTCGAGGCTTTATCGTCACTCCTGATATGAAAGGTGTGACGACGCAACACATTCAAGGAAAGTTAAGCCTTCTCACCTCACCAACCGGAGACATCCTTCTCGAAGATGTCTCTGTTCCCGAAAGCCATCTTTTGGAAAAATCAGAAGGTTTAAAATCTCCTTTCCATTGCTTTTCAAGTGCTCGCTTTGGGATTGCCTGGGGCGCTTTAGGAGCTGCAGAGCAATGTTGGCACACTGCTCGTCAATATACTTTGGACCGCCAACAATTTGGTGTTCCTCTCGCTTCAAAACAGCTTATTCAAAGTAAGCTCACTCAAATGATGAGCGATATCAGCTTTGCCTTACAAGGTGTTTTAAGAGCAAGCCGATTAAAGGAAGAAGGCCAATGCCCTTATCCTTTAATCTCACTTATTAAACGTAATTCTTGTTCAGTTGCTCTCAATACAGCAAGAATAGCCAGAGATATGCTTGGAGCAAATGGCATTACACTTGATTTTCAAGTCATCCGCCATATGGTCAATCTTGAAACTGTTTTCACCTATGAAGGAACGCATAATATCCACTCTTTGATTTTAGGGCAAGCTCAAACAGGACACAGTGCATTTTAAATACTCTGAGGAACACCTCACTTGATACTGCGTAGTGAACCTGAAAGATTTCAAAACATGTGTTTCAAACTATACAACTTTAAATAAACAAGAGCTCATACATAATTACAAAGGAATAACGCTCTAAATGATCGATTTCATTAAAGAAAGTATCACCTTATATATCATCTTCCCAGTCATTGTATTGATTGGTGGGTATCTCACATATCGTCTGAGATTTTTACAGCTGACCCAGCTCTCCCGTGCTTTCCACATGATTAAAGCACAAAAAAAAAGCAGGGGGGATTTCATCATTTAGTGCTGTATCTGCCATTCTCGGAGGAAACTTAGGAACTGGAAACATATCCGGTATTGCGATTGCTTTAACAACAGGAGGGCCTGGGGCTCTTTTTTGGATGTGGGTTATGGCTTTCCTCGCATCGATTATTAAGTTTATCGGATGCTTTTTAGGCGTTGAATATCGTGAAAAAGATTCGGCAAAAGAATGGGTTGGAGGCCCCATGTATTACCTCACAAGAGGTTTGAAAATGCCCCTTATAGGAAAACTATTTTGTGTGTTTACCATCTTTTCAGCGCTCACCGTTGGAAATATGGTCCAAGTCCATTCTCTTTAGCTTCCCTTTAAAGAAATCGGGATCCATCCATTCTATTTAGGCATAGGTCTCGCCCTTCTTGTCGGGGGGGTTATTATGGGAGGATTGACACGTTTTGCCTCTGTTGTTTCCGCCGTCGTCCCTTTTATGGCCATTATTTATGTTGGGGCATGCTTATCGATTATTTTTCTAAATTACGGTCAAGTTGGCAGTGCTTTCACTATGATTTTTCAGTCTGCAATGGGATTTGATTCTGTTGCAGGAGGCGCTCTTGGTTTTACACTCTTTCAAGCCATTCGCACAGGGTTTGATCGAGGCCTCTTTGCAACCGATGCAGGCCTAGGCCTTGCTCCCATTATTAACGCCGCCGTGACCGATCAACACGAAGTTTTTGATAACAAAGTCGTACAAGGAATCATCAGTGTCCTCTCCCCCATCATTGTGATGATTATCTGCACAATGACTGGCCTCGTTTTGTTGATCACAGGCGTTTGGAACAACGGAGATCTTGAAAGCACAAACATGTGTGTAGAGGCTTTTAAATTTGGACTGAACTCTCCCTCTGCAGGCTATATTGTCTTTATTACCTTATTCTTTTTCGCCTTTACAACGATTCTGACTTGGTCTTTTTGTGCCGATAAATCCATCGAGTTTTTGTTTGGTAGACACTATATCAAGCTCTTCCAGCTCTTTTTCATGGCCTTTATTTTGATGGGAGGATTTCTTCAGGGAAGCTTTGTCTGGCTTATTGCAGATATTTCCCTCAATTTGATGTTTATCATCAATATGATTGGCGTTGTTGGATTGTCTGCAGGAGTCATCACTTTCACAAGAAAACAGTTTGACTTTCTTTGAATTATCGCGAACTGTTATTTCACAAAGCTGTGGATTATGCTTTTGTACTAAGGCGTTAGAATGATTTTTTGAAAAAGTACTCAGTCCCTCTCTTCACAAAAATTACTTAAATCTACGATCACCTTGTTGGATTTCTTCTACATTAAAAGGAATTAAAGGTGGGTTACTATAACAGATTGAGTTAGCAACTTTTTCTAATCTCTCTTCACCCTATTGAGTGAACATTAAAGCTCCAACATATGAGTAACGTAAAAATAACTTAAGCCACTTTTAGAAGAGCCTGACCAGAAGTGACAGAATCGCCCGGTTGCACCAATACATCTTGAATCGCAAGGTCTGTAGGCGCCCGAATGATATTTTCCATTTTCATGGCTTCTACAATGGCTAGGCGTTGCCCAACTTTGCAACTGTCCCCTGGTTGAACAAAAACATCCAAAATACGTCCAGGCATAGGAGAGGAAACAACAGTCTTCTGAGAAGCT